GATCGCGGCCTCGCGCTCCGTGGTCATGAGCGGGAACCGGCCGCTGGACGAACGGGAGCGGAAACGCTTCACCTACTTCTCGTCGCTGAGCCCCATGGCCAGGAAGATCATGCAGGACAAGGAGAAGATCCGCGAGAAGTACGGGCCCGAGTGGGCGCGGCTGCCGCCCGCGCAGCAGGACGCGATCATCGACCGCTGCCTAGTGGGGCCGCGCGCCTCGGCGCCCGCGGACCCGGGGTACTCCGGCGACCCCGAAGACCCCGTGCGCTTCCCCGGCCTGCGCGGGCCCACGGGCCAGAAGGTGGTGCGCTTCGGCGACGAGGTGGGGCGCCGGACACGCCCCGCGCGAAGGGGAGTGGGTGGCGAGAGGGGCCCAGCGGGGACCGGGGCTCCAAGACACCCGCCCCGCGCGAGGGACGTGGGCAGCGCCGGGGCTGGGGGTGCCTCGGGGAGAAGGGAAGGGGGCTTTAAAAGCCACCCACTGAGCAAAGCGGACCAAAGTGGCGACAGCGGGAATTCGAAGGCCGGCTGACCTGGGTTCTGACCCAGCTCTGTCCCTTGGCAGCTGTGTGGCCCAGAGAGAGTCTTAGAGCCTCAGTTTCCTCGAATGAAACGGGTATGGAGCCCACCCGCGAGGCACTCGGCTCGCGGTGTCTGTTAACATTTGTGCCCGGCCGCGAGCTCCGTGGGGAATGAGCTTGAGAGGCGGGTCTCCGGGAGGAGGAGGCGCCTTCCAAGACAGGGGCCCACAGTCCCGAGCCCACCGTCCCGAGGTGCGACTGGGGGGCACGATGCGCCATGTGCGACCCTGTTTTTCTATGGAAAGACCCTGGGAGAGGAGTTTAGTTGCGCTCCACAGCCTCGCCCCTTCGGAGGGGAGGGCAGGCTCAGCCGCAGATCTACCCCTGCTGTGCGCAGGGAGGACGGGTAGGGAGGCCCGGAGTCTGTGCGCTGGGAAGCCTGGTGCCCTTGGGAGTGAGTGTCCCAGAAGCCTTCCGTGCCCTGGGACCTCGCCGTGGCGGTTGCAGGCTGACTTCTGCTTGGAGGGGCGAAGTGAGAAGGAGCAGCAGTGGGGTCCACTCCGCTGAGGCTGCTGCTTAGGCTGCTGAGGGGAGGGGCCAGGGGAGGTTTTCCCTGGAAGTTGGGGACTGTGAAGGGACTCAAGTTCAGAATGAGGCTTAGAGCACACTTTCAGGCTTAGGTATGTGGAAATGTTCGTTAAAGCAGAATGTTTGTGGCCATAAACTCACTCTGACGTCAGGTCAGAAGTGTGAAGTATAGGACTGTGTTGCCAGCAGCGCCTGGATTCTCATGGAATTAATAGAAAATTCCCCCCTTGGACTTTCAACTCGAAGGCTTGCCAGGAAAAACAAGGGCGTGGTAAGCTGGGGAGAGAAAAATATAGGTTTTTAAAATGTCTTCCAGAGCCGAAACAGCCCAGGGGGAAGATGTGCACTTTTGTAGATGTGTAGGTTTGGGTGCCAGGTGGCCCTTGGAAGGCATAAGTAAATAAACCTGAGGGCAGTAAGCCTGTAATTCCTTGCAGATGTTGAAGAGTGGCTGGCCCTAGACCTGGTCTTGGGTTTGTCCAGCTGAGAGCAGTGGCATGACTGCTTGTCATCAAAAAAGCCAGGCCACGTTGTAGCTCAGGGTCGCTGGCAGGGACAGCCTTCCACTAGGCTGAAGTTCTACTCTGGGTCCCTATCTGTAGCTAGACTGATCTCTTTCTGGACTTGCAGACCCAGTGTGACATAAAAGCAAGGGAACTGTTGTGGCGGCCTGGGAGCTTCCCAGAGCCACCAGCCCTGTCTTTCAGAATTGAATCTCAGCCTCTCACACATGCTGAGAGTTTGCCCATGCCCTGGATTACCTCTGACAACCTCAGCACAGGTGGCCGTGGCAGGCAGAGCCTTGGTTTTAGGAGGGGTCTGCAGGAACATTGCCAGGGTGGCTGGGTGGTTTAAATGCCATCAGATGAGGCAAGGAGTTGGCACTGAAGTGGAGTTTGCATTCTTGTTGTTGCTCACAGGAGATCATTTGTGGAGGAGAGCAAGCTTCTGGGCATAAGGGATGATGGATAGGACAGAATGGGAGATGACCCCCAGCTTGGCGGCCCCAGGTTTGAGCAAAGGACTAGCTTGAGTAGGGCTGTCCCTTCCCATTTGACCTGTCTTCTCCTGTGGTCACAGGGGCCCCCGTGCCCTGTCAGCTTCCCTGAAGGGTGCTGCCTACTTCTTTGATACTCCCTCATTGCCAGGACATTTTTGTGTCCCACATAGCAATATCCTAAGTCAGAGAATGCAGACATAATGACCATCATCTAGTTATTTGTATGTGTTACTGGAATAAATAGAAGTTTGATTACATGATGGTGGCCACAGATCTCAGTGGCTCTGAGTGTGGTCAGGGGCTCAGTTCATGCACTGAAGTTGCCTTGTGCAGGTGCAGCATATTATGTGTGTGTGTTTGTTTCCATGCCTGGTGAGGTGGAAAACTTGGGTTGGCTCAGGTCCCCATGCTCTGATGACTTAATCTGGCCCCTTGAAGAGAAGAAGGTGGCTATCCTTGTTGTTGAGGCCTTGAGGAACTTGCCAGGTTTTACATTCTTCCTTGGGAATCAATTGAGCAAGTATTCCTCACGTCCTATTGTATTTAGGAAGTAGTGGCATCTTAGCTTAGTCTTTACCAGCTCCTTTAAAAATCTGGCTCATAACCTCAGTAAATGTCTACAGAGTGGAATGTTGCCCAGGGCTGCCAGCTTTCCTGCCTCCCTGAGGCCCCAGGCCCTCCCGTAAATCTCGGCTGGTGCTGGAGGAAAGCTCAACACAAAGGAGGGGCCCCCACATCTGGGACCCAGGTCCTCACCACAGTCAGCAGCAGGTACTGCCTTCTGAGGGCCCTTAGCCCCCTGGAGTCGGCCTGGCTTGGAGCCGGCACACACAGCGTGCTCCCTCCTGGTTGAGGATCTCAGTGAGAAAGGCAAAGCCTGTCTGCAGGTGGAGGCTCTTCAAGGTCTGGCTTGTCCGCACTCCTGATGGCTGTGAGTGCTGGGAATGGCTGACCTGGGGAGAGGAAAGGTTCTTGCTTTTCAAGGGTTTAGGGAACACCCTGCATGCTTCTCCTGCTTCCTGTTATCGATAGAAAATTGAACTCTTGGGTTTGTGTTGCCTTCTGCTTCCTGTCCCCACCCCCAAACTCCGTGCCATCCATCCAGCAGGATCTGAGTAGGTGTGGGAGGCTGCAGAGTTGCTCACCCAGTGCCGCCCTCTTGGCTACAACAGGCCAGCAGATGACCAGGAGGCCTGAGCCCGGGCAGCTCCTTTGTGTGGATCTGCATGCTGCATCTACCTCTCCATGAAGCAGGCGGGGCTGGGCAGGAGTGGCGTTTCCTTGAACCCATCCTCAGAGACCTAATCTGGGTTTTGCATGGGGAGTGCCCCCACCCCCAGGACTGCGGTGAACCCAGGGTGCTCTACCACTGAGCTATATCACCACTCCTTTTTACTTTATTTTGGGACAAGGTCTAAGTTATCAAGGTAGGGCTTGAACTTGTTTTCTTCCTGCCTCAGCCTCCTGAGTGCTGGGATTCAGACCTGCAGTGTTGCTCCTGGCCATACCTGAGTTTTAAGACCCTAGGACTAGTTAGCTCTGCCTTTCCTCAGCAGCTGAGCATGATGCTGCTATCCTTGGACCCACATCCCTCTCCTGCTGCAGCCCTCTCCCTAGGGCTTTGCTGGCCACTCCTCATGGCTTTAGCCTCCTTTTCTGAGGCTAAGTCTTGGTCTCCTGGGCTCCCAGACATCTTTTGCACTATCCTAGGCCCTTTAAGGCCTGGTGGCTTTCCTAGTCCACAGCGGGAGGACCTGTAGGTGTCACAGGGGTGGAGTATCTGTCAGCAGGCCGCGCTCAGGGGCTGCCTGCCCAGGGCCTGCCTTGCCCGCTTTTGAGGGTCCAGGTTCTGGAGGGCCTGTGGGCCTGAGTCGTATACAGCCTAGATATTTGGTCAAGTAAACAGATTTATTATAACAAGTTACATAGTATGGTAGTTGTCTCAAGCCCCGCAGAAGCAGCCTTTGCTGGGGAGAGCAGGCAGCTGCAGGACCTGCGGCTCCTGAGGTCTCCCTTCTCATCTACTTTGGCACTTTGGCCTTTTCTTTTTTTTTTTTTTTCTTTCAGATTTTGGTTAAAATTAAAAAGAAGGTAATTTGAGAGTTGCTGTCTCAGTATTTTGGACTTGCTTTTTCAGGAGGTGGAATGTGTGAATTGATCCCCTCTCTGTCTGGCCCACCCGTGCATGATCTTGAAAAGACAACAGGGTGGGTGCGGCTTTTTGTATCTCTGGCTGGGGCTCTGTATGGTCACTGGGCAGGTATTGAGAAATGCCAAAGCCAGTTCCGCAGCCTCTGCTAGGCACAAACTGTAGGCTGCCTGAAAGCACGTTGAGGGTTCTCCACCCTGATGAGCACCTGGCTGCATGCCCTGGTTGCACAGGCAGAGTGGCCTCCCTGCCTAGGTGCCTTTGCCTGCTGGTTCCAGTGACACCTGGGCACAGGTTTTGCAAAGAAATGAAATGACTTGTTCACAGTCATGCAGGGCAGGAGGAAGCGGAAGAAGCAGGCAGGTGACTAGAAATCGCTCACACCCTGACCAAGACATTCCCATAGTACTGAAAAAAACAGTTTCTTCAAAATAAATAAATAAGGATTGGGTGAGTGCAGGCCAGACCTGTCTCCTTAGACTCCTGCCCATGTTCTGTTCCTTCCTTGAAGCATGCTCCACCCACTCTGCACTCTGCCTGTTACCATAGTGGAGGCTCTTGGTGCTGTTTTTGCTGTGATCTGCTATGGAGCTGTCTCTGGATCCGCGTGCACAGTGGACGCACCCGGGACTACATCACAGCTGCTTTCTGTCTTCAGAGCTGCACTCATACCTCCAGTTATGGAAAGGCCCATTTCAGCAGAGTTAAATATATTCCAGTCAAAGGGAACAAACAGCCAGATACCATAAATGTGTACAGTAACTGTGAATAGGCATTGGGCAAAAAACATATTTTTATCATTCTTTGCTCCTCCTCTTTTTAATAGATTTAATTTTTTAGAGCAGTTTTAGATTTACAGCAAAACTGAGTGGAAAGTTCGGAGTTCCCACGTACCCTTGGTTCACAGGCAGCCTCGCTTACCTAGTGCACCCCAACGGGCAGTCCGTGGTCATGGCGGTCCGTGGTCACCACCCTGTGCTGATGTCTCATCACCCTAGGTCAGAGTTCATGTTTGGGTTCACTATGGCTGCTGCATGGTCTGTGGACCTCACCCAGTGTGCAAA